TTTGCATCTGCCATTATGAGGTAGACCTACATTTCTATGCAAAACAGACAAAAACATGTGAAACTTTACATGCAGTTTTCTTTATTTGAGCAGTTAGTTGCACACCATTTAAAATACATTTTGTTGTTCTTAAAAGTTCTGTTTAGTTCCAGAGAGTGACCATCTTGGGGTGTCACAAAAAGCAGAAGCCATGGGGGGATTTTAATGTGCTTCAGAGTTTTCTGTTGTTGGGGGCAAAACATAAAAAAATATAAATAAGCAAATGTGATCATTTTCTTTCATGATATATGGCATGTTAGTTAATTGATCCTTTCAGTATAACTCTGTCATATCCTGGATCCTGTCCGTTTATCCTGGATTCATAGAGGAGAAACCACAGGGATGTTCTCATTTTATTATTACCGTACTTATTTTATTCATTTATTTTTATTTTGGTCCATTGAATATGTTTAAAAACTTTATTTCCATCACACCTTCCAAATGAAACATCCAGAGAAGGGCTGTGTCCTGTCATGGTGAGTTTTTATAAAATCTACAGCCTCCTAGAAGGTCTGATTGTAACTAATAACATAATGAATGAAGCTTTTTAATCCTTAGCCTATTACTAAATACTTTGCATAGGTTTCGATTGCACTGGTTCCTGCATCAGTGCCAGTAACCCAGTAATAGCTTATTAGTTCCTCATTGTTTAATTTACTTGAACTGCAGAGAATAATTAATGAGCAAAATTGTGAAATTCTTAGTTTAAAGTATATTTAAGATGCAAGTATTTTAGTAGGGCCCGTTCTGCTTTGCTTAAATTCTCTAAAAATCACCAGAATGTAGAAAATTATGTATATTGTGAGAAAATGTTCCACATAACTACAGACCACTTATTGTTACTCAGCAACATTTACTCTGCTATAAAATTTCCACATTTTGCCACTTTGTTTCTGTTAAAACCTCCAACCTATAGCTGCACATATCCTCATCTAACCCTGACAGGATTTCCTGCCAAACTACTTCAAAATCTCACTCCAAGGTTTGGTGAAAAGTTGGCAGCCCTGCTACTGTACCTCTATTCATGTTCTTGAACCAGTGAACCAGCTAGTCTGTATGTACATTTTGGGACGTGACAAAAGTACAGGCCAGAACCCAATAAGGCAACATCCCCAATAAGGCAACATCCCCAATTCAGTACTTTATTTCAATTCGCCCATTTATGGTGGAAGTTTAGAATTGCGAAATTTGCAAATAAAGGAGGTGTCGATGGGGTTTGAACTTCTCTGTACTTCCATTTCACCCACTTAACTATTGTTATAAATCCATGACAATGTAAACTCGGTTTTGCATTCTATGACCCCTTTAATATAAATAATATAAGATAATAATAATATACCCTAAACTTTATATATCTAAATATGTTTTTTATTCAATGGGCTTTAGTTCTAGCTCAGAGCTCACATTTAAACTGTTTTTCTTCTATAAGAAACCCTCAAAGGAGCTCCTGTTGCTTCAACTCTTTACACTTTCTTTAACATGAAAACTTCTCCTGGACCAGTGCTTCTGTGTGTCTTTGAATGCATTATCTGTCTTGTAAAACAGAATTTTGATCGTGGCAGGCACCCTTAGCCTACTTCCGTATCAGGTTTCCCCAGTCACCACAAACACGCCCAGTGTGAAAAATTGGTCTAAAGTAAAGAACAGTATGCCATCAACCGTCAAATGTTGCTAGAAAGTCACTCGCTTGATCCAGGTAGATGGATTTCCTTAGAAAATGTTTAATATACATCGGCATGAGAAATGCTTTATGATAAAGGCTTTGAATCTTTAAAAAAAAAATTATTAATTAAAATATTGATTAACTTGATTTTTATTTTTTTTTAAAGTACTTTGAGACGTTTGTTATGAATCTGCACTATACGAGGAACTGAATTACATTTTAAAACATGCATCTTACCGAATGGTTGGGGCTAATAAGCATATTCTTTAAAAACTATTTTTGACCTATGTGATCCATGTATTCATTTTAAAGTCAGGGCTTGGTTTGAGTGACAGACATTAAAAGAAGGGAAATATTTAGGTTAAAAAGCCATTATAAGCTGTTTTTACTTAATTAATACAGTAACTCTGCAGCTATTTTAATAGAACACTTCAGAAATTTGAGTTTTAAACCCTCCTACTTACAGTCAGAAAGCATGCAGAAGCTATTCTTTATTTATGATATTCTATGTATGAACGAAGTTGGTTTTGTGTCAGATCCTTTACCATTTGATATGTAGTAAACATTTTTTTTTATATATATATATATATATATATATATGATATCCACGTCCCCTCACCCTCACCTGCACTGTGCTCAACCAAGTATTTTAGATTAACTAAGGTCCAAATTAGACACTGTAAGGATGATGGAGTTTTCTATATCGGTTCCTCTAAGGATTAGATTACATTTGTATTCGACACGTTTACATCTCTGAAAAATCTCAGGTTTTCCTTTTTGTTTTTCTTTCCTTTGGATTTTGAATCTAATGGGCCATATTACCAAAATAGATCATATGAAAGTGTTGCATTGCATTTTAATTTTTGTATTTCCCTGTTTATTCTTTTATATAGCTTTCAATTATTCAAATTTGGCTAAATTGAAAATATGTATTTCATATGCTATTTTAAACATTGTTGTGGAACCTTTTTTCTCTTCTATGTCTTTTCACAGAAATGTCTAAGTGTAGTGTAACAATCTGTGTATATGTGTCAGCATTTACGTGTTTTTAATTTTGAGATAGACTAGTCTGTGGAGGACATACTCCTGTAAAACAAAATAATAGACACATGAAGTCATTTTTAGCCAAAACAAAATGAACAGTATTCCCAGTTGAACAAGTCTGTGCCTGAGAAGAAAAAACAGATTCAACCAAGTGTGATGTTGAATGATGTTGGTTGAATTAGATTTAAAAAGATGATTTTTTATTCTTTCCTGAGCTTTAATGACTCTTTAATGACGATAATGATAAACCAACTGGTTGATCGACTGGATGTCGACAGACAAAATCATGTCTTTGTACATCTAGTGGTCTGTGTTAGGAATTGTATTTTGTTGTTTAACATGTAATATAAAAAAAGAGTGAAATATTTGTTTCTTTGTTGTTTTTCAATTAAATAAAAAAAATAAACTGATCGGTTTCATGAAAACTGGATGTGTGTGACAGACAGGGGGTTCTGGAAACCCCAGTGAAAGCATACCGAATATGACCTAGAAAAAGGACAGAATAAGGGTTATTCCTTATGCAGAGGTACCAGATAAAATCTCCCACTCTACTAAAAATGACAAACCTACACAACTATGCCAAAGATGCACCTACGTATATGGAAAACAAAACTCCTGACAAAGATGAAGCCATCAGGCAGATGGGTGATTACTTAAAAAATGGTACATTTTAAACCCCTACTCTGTGAAACATCTTCTCATCTTATTATGCCATCTTTAGTAACTGTAGTTTATCTATATTTTCCTACTGTGTGTGAATATGCATGCCCTGACATGTACTTTTGCTGTTTGAACATCTGAATTTCCTTGTGAAGAATGAAAGTGTGACTCTACTTTGAATATATTTTTTGTCATTCTTGTTGCAATGTTTGGTTAAAACTAAACCGACCAAAACTGTTCACAACAATGAGGGGATGAAAGATGGATGTTTTATGTTGGTTTCAATCACAAGACTCACCTTGCAATCTTTTGTGTTGCCGATGAACATCTAAATTATACTGGTGACAAGTGAATTGAATAAGTAAAGTTTCGCCTTTGGGCCATTAGACATTCATACCATAACAGTAGCAAGAAAGTGTTGAAATTATATAACTCGGTTGAAATACAATGATAAGGCCTTTATCCTATGAATTGTTAATAGGCAAAATTTAACCCTAACTCCTAATGTGACAGTTTTAAAAAGAGAGCGACAGACTTATACCATTAAACAAAAAATGAGAACATAAAATTTCTGCTGCTAGACGTCAATGCAAACCTAACACCTTTTTTGCAATGACTATATTGACTGTTATTGAAAACTTTATCAACTAATTATAATGTTCTAAAATGGATTGATTGACTTTATTAATCTCACAATGGAGAAATGTACTCATAACTTCAGCTCAAATAGTCAAAGGAGGAGAAGAAGGTGTAAAAGGAAGAAAAAGGTTAATGGTATATATACAGTATATACAGTTCGTCCACATATGACAGTTTTTTTTTTGCAACAAAAGCTTACGTTTAAAATACAAATCTAATCCTAAATAAATATTTGTAAAGTGAGGTGTTACCAAGAACATTTCTGATACAGAGGTTCAGCTTTAAATATATGGAGGACCAACTCTGCCATATTTAAAAATAAAGAAAGAAATAAATAAATGCTCAAAAGATAAATAAGCATACAATTAATTGCCCCTCAAAATAAAATAAACAAATAAAGGCAGGTAGAAATTAAATTGTACAGTGAAACAAAAATGTATATATCAGAAGGTGAACCTCTAAGACTTGCATAATGAGGCAGAAATGCCTAGAGAGATGTAAAAACAACAGGCAGAAATAAATAACGCTGAAGAAATAAATAGGGTAAAAAAAATACAAAGAAGATTAAAACACAAAAATATCACATGCACATAAATAAAGACTTAAAAATAACTAATAAATAAAGTTGAAGATTATAATGGACAATAAATAAATATGGTTAATATTACAAAGGCGAATTAATAAAGAAGCTAATTAAAAGAGATATATCCATTTATGTCTCATTGTATAATTTAAATTCTACCTACATTTATTTGGTTATTCTATTTTCGGGGGGAATTAATTGTATGCTTATTTATTTATTGAGCTTTTTTCCCCCTGTATTTATTTTTAAATATGGCAGAGTTGGTCCTCCACATAATAAGAGAGGCGCATTTAAAACTTGCCAGGATTATTTTCTGCTGCCAAGCACACTGGGCACGTGTCCTGCGTAATGACGTCACGTGACAGCTGCTTTCACGTTCCTACAAATCTTTTTCCAACTCCGCAGTAATACACAACCCTCTGCTGTCTATTACTGCAGAAAGGGTTGTTTACAGTCTGAACGCCATTACAACTTTCAGTGGAAGAAGGAAAAAACGACGCCGGTTAGTTAGGAAGTGCGGCAACAGAGAGGATTTACTGGGAAAACATTAGCCATTAGCTTAGCATAGCGCTGCTAATCTAAACATGAGACAGCAGGCTGCCTGACTGTAACCAGACTAGATTTACAGTTGTAGCTGCTGGTAAGTGTTTGCAGTATTTTTTTAGGATATTAGCCGGTTTTTATTTTTTATTTTAGACACTTCTTTTAAGACAATTACAAAAAGAGCATAATTGTGATCTGAAGGTGATGCATTTTGTTAAATTGGTTTTCTGAACATTCTAGAAAGTGTGGCTTGCATTTGTTTCCAGCTCACATTCAATACCAACGCTGCATTACAGATGATCTTGTTTGCATTATTATTTTATTTACTGAGACAAATTATATGGACTACTTTGTCTGTTGGACAAATTATCTCACCTAACATCTTGATCTCTGCAGATTTTTGCATTTGCCATGTTCTGTTTCAGGTGTACATGAAGGGAAATGTAGGTTAAACTCAAACTGAATTAATTTCCCATTGTTGAAACACTTTTTTTAATATTCTCCAGCAAAACAAACGTTTGAGAGCACTCTTTAGTCTACTTTTCTGCAGTATCAAGCAACAGGTTGGGGAGGGGAAGCATTGCATTACTCCATGTTTTGCACAGTCAGACAAACTGGTCAATTAGCCACTTTTTTTTGTTTTTTAGCTTCTTGCAGGTTAATTAAAACAGATTTTATCTGCAGCAACTGTACAAATGGAATTACCTAAATACACCTCTAGCTCTAAAACTAGCTCCTGCCTTTTTACAAAAGATAGCAAAGATTTGTAGCACGTGTAGATAAGACATAAACAACTAGAGTGTATGAATTTGGGATATGTTTGAAAATAGTTAAGAAAAAACTATCTGACTCAATGTTGCATGGCTGCTCTGCAGGGATGCCCTTTACTGCCTCCAAATAACAAAAAGTGTGATATCAGCTCTTTAACTTAAGGCCATGTGTTCAGCAGGCATGAACATCGAAAACCTCACCCTCTGCGAGAAGATTGTATCACCCTCTTACATCAGACAGGGCTCTCAGGCTCGCCGTGGTCACGAGCAGCTCATCAGACTTTTGCTGGACCAGGTGGTGGTTATATTGCTTCTTTTTTTTATGGTCTTACAGCAGATGTTTCAGCTTCTCACATTGTGCTTTTTACAGGGTAAATGTCCGGAGGAAGGATGGAGCGAGAGCACCGTAGAGCTTTTCCTGAATGAGCTGGCCGTGATGGACAGCAACAACTTCCTGGGCAACTGTGGCGTCGGAGAACGGGAGGGGCGAGTGGCGTCCAGGCTGGTGGCGAATAGACATTACAGGTTTAGACTAAGCTCTTGTCATTTAACCATCATCAAAAGGATGTCCCTGATTCAAATATTCCTAAATTAATACCCCAATATTCCCACTCTTTCTCATATCCTTTGATGTCTTTTATAATGTATTCAAAGCGGTTGGCTTGAATTATTGCATTTATTAGGAATGGGATGAGGCAGTCGGCCTGTGGCTCTGCTGAGGGGTTTTAATAAGGTCTGGTTGCTTTTATAGCAGCTTTTAGCTTATCTGGTGTGTGATGGACCTGAACACAGCAGCAACCGATTTTGCTCAAGGTTTTAGAGCCTCTAACTCTTCCACTGCTGTTTCTGTTCAGGTTGATCCATGGCATAGGTCGGTCAGGTGACATCGCTGCTGTTCAGCCCAAGGCAGCAGGATCCAGTCTGCTTAACAAGCTCACAAACTCTGTAGTCCTGGACATCCTGAAGATTTCAGGTGAGTAGGCTGAAGGTTCATAAGATAAAAAAAAAAAGTGTAAGCTTTCTTTAGAATTAGCCTTTTAAATTGGGCCTACCCACTGTAAAGCGTGAAGTGAATAAATAAACTGAATAAAATGGTGGCTAAATTTAATAACTACCATTCACCAAGACTGTCTATGTATTTTTGTTTTGGTACAGTTATTGAAGATGGAAGGGTAGAAAAACATTTATTTGAAGAGGACAAAAACAGTAGATCAACTTCTTTTAGATAAACTGCTGATAATGAATATAGTTGTGATTTTCTTGTAGCTACTGTAGGTAGGTGACTCATATTCTAGAGCTGCTTGCCATCAGCCCTAAAGTACCAGGACCTGAACGCTCTCTAGAATAATAACATATTTCATCAAAAGTAATGTCATTAATGAACATTTGACAATTACAAACCTTGCAAACCTACCCATTAAAGATCATCTTGGTTTGGGACTTTTTAGACATGTTAAAGTATCAATTATAAAACCAACTCCTTCTCTAACAATGTTATATCCTCCTATTATGAGAAGTCTAATTTTATTCTCTGTGGCAGGTGTTCGCAGTGTGGCCAGCTGCTTTGTTGTTCCCATGGCAACAGGAATGAGCCTGACTCTGTGCTTTCTGACCCTCCGTCACCGCAGACCCAAGGCCCGCTTCATCATCTGGCCTCGCATCGACCAGAAGTCTTGTTTCAAATCCATGATCACTGCAGGTCAGCATTCAAATGAGCCCGGGTTAAAACATTTCTTTGACTAAGATTTCTTGAGATATTTTTAGCCCCTCTTGTCTCTAACTATTAGTAATAGGTCCAGCAACACCGATGCGCCGCTGCATGTATTGAGCTCTAACAGCAAGACCCTGTGTCGGTGCGTGTATTGTCTCAAGAAAGTCACTTGACCGATACTGGAGCTGTTTTCGAACAGACTGATGGCTCTAAACTGTTTTTATAAGCGCATCTGTCAACACAAGGCGTCTGCCAAATAAAATCTCTGATCGTTTGCGGTTTGTCATCAAACGAATCAAGAAATCTGGAGCAGCCTCAAGGCAAAAGAACAGTTTCAGCCGACTGGGACAATTTGACTGTCATATTTGATTCAGTTTCCTTATTATGTCATACTGTTCACTCAGCTTATTGCCTCTCAGTTTGCTGTTCTTACTATAGTTATTTTATATAAATAATTCCTTGTCCACAAACATCCTTATTCACATGTTAACTTACATTTTCCTGTTATATGTTCACATTTATGGATTGCATCTAAAAAAAACCCAGAAAAAACCCCAGCAATGGCTAGCTCCAAGTGGCGCTTGGAATCCAGAGGTTCTGAGATCAAGCCCCACTCCCACGGACTGCCACTCTTTCTCCCTGAGCAAGATACTTAACCCCCACACTGCTCCCTGGGCACCGCACAATGGCAGCCCGCTGCTCCCCAAGGGGATGGGTTAAATGCAGAGTTAATTTCGTTGCTCTGTACAACAGTGTAATGACAATAAAACGCTGAAAAAAAATATATATATATATTTTCAATTTGAACGAAGAAATAAAATAATGCTTTACAGCAAACAATGGCTTAAATTATGTCATAGGTCATCAATTTATTTGATTTAACTTCCCTTTGGGAATAATAAAGTACTTTTGATTGAATTGAATCAAATCAGTGTCAGTTTAGTCTGCAAAAGAGGCTGCCTGTAGTGATTTTAAATGTCCAGCAGGTGTCAGCATGCAGTGACACAGTATCAATACAGTTTGCTAATGTGTCAGAACGCTTCATGACCCCTCGTGAACCCATCACTACTAACCATCCATCCTATATGTGCTAGTTAGAGTTCCTCTCCAACTAAAGCTGTTATTGTTTCATCAGGATTTGAGCCCGTGGTTGTGGAGAACGTCTTGGAGGGTGATGAGCTTCGGACGGACTTGGAGGCGGTACAACGCAAGATTGAAGAGCTTGGAGCAGAAAATGTCCTGTGCCTTCATTCCACAACGTCTTGCTTCGCTCCGCGGGTTCCCGACAGGTTACTGGAAGATTTTAGCAGATTTACACGTGTCTGCAGCACTTACTCATCATTATGAGTAATTAGAAAAAGCATTCTTAGTGTATCGTCCTGTCTTCCAGACTTGAAGAACTGGCCACTATGTGTGCTAAATATGACATCCCTCACATAGTCAACAATGCGTACGGCGTGCAGTCATCCAAATGCATGCATCTTATACAGCAGGTATCTAACACTAACACTTAATGGAAGAAGTACAGGGCCTGTCTAGAGCAGGAGTCTGCCACCTGTGGCTCTGGAGCCACAACTACTATTTGGACTCTGTACAATGCCTCTTAATAGTTGATAAAAAACTTTAAAGAACCAACTAGTTGTGTAGAACATTGTATAATGACAAATATTATTCTTTAAGATGTATATTTCATGTCATTAGTTTGGAAGCTTATGGTTCATTTAATAGTTTCCTAAAAAGGAAACCCTATGCTTCCTCTTTATGAAACATTTAGATATTTTCCTTATTTTAACAACCATGAAAACTTTAAAAATTTTTTTGTTTTGTTTTATGTTGTCATGAAAAACATCATTAGAGATACAAAAGATAAGTAAGTTAGATCAATTTAATCGTTAACTGGAGTGTAGAGACTAAAACGTGCTTTTAGCTGACAGAGCAACCCACCTTGAGCAGCAATTGTACCAAAATTGTAAAAAAAAAAAATTAATTTAAACATTTTGTATTTAAGATAAAAAAAAAAAAATTTTCGTCTGTCAAAATGCTTTATCCAGAACTACTCCATTTGAAAAATTTTAGTTTCACCTGCTTTAATATAGCAAAAAGTCTATTTTAATTAAGCTTTGGCTGTCTAATTATTAATAATTTATTATTTAAAAAAACTGTTGACAAATTAATCGATTTGCAAAATAATTGTTACTTGCAGCCCTAGCATAATGTTTCCAATATCAGAAATATAACAAAAATAATGAGTTGGATATCATGTAAAGATCATGTATTTGTTTGCGGATCTAAATTGCTTTTATTTTGCCGGTCACGATGTAAAATGGCTTTGTTTATTTGAAAAGGTTGCAGGACCCTGATCCAGAGCTTTAAATATGTATAGAGTCTATAGAAATGTTTTTTTCTGTTTTCTTGTTTTTTTTTTTTTCTTTTTTAGCATTTTTTTTTCCGTCAGGAATTAAGAAACAGCAAACTAATGAAGTTACTTCCGAAAACCAAAATGAAAAATGTGTTAATTCTGAGTTATATTGCAAATTTTTTCTAAATCCACATAGGGTCAAAACTCAACAAAGATGCTTAAATTTACACATGTAACCCAGGTAAAAGTTTATTAATAGAATAAAGAATAAAATAGAATAGAAAATCCCTTTATTGTCCCACAATAGGGAAATTCTGTTTTTTACAGCAGCAAAAAGATTATAGAAAAAAAAAAGAAAAAGGTCACACAAATGTGGAACTTACAAATAAGAGATATTAGAGACTAGAGATATTTTACAGTAATTTATATTCGAAAATAGCAGCAAAATCAGAGATGTGCAAAATGACAGCAGCATTTTATTTAACTGACTAAGGTAGAAACTGAAAAATTTAGCCTGAATGTAATAACTTATTGAGGTTGTTGGGAACAGTGATGGTTATAAAATCTTCCACCTGCTGGGAGGAAGGATCTGTCATAACGCTCCCTGGTGCATTTAGGGTGCAGCGGTCTGTCACTGAAGGAGCTCTCCAGTTCTGCAACAGCTTCCTGCATGGGGTGGGAGACATTATGCAACAGAGATGTTAATTTAGTTAGGATCCTTTTGTTTCCCACCTCCTGCACGGAGTCCAGAGGGCATCCAATCACAGAGCTGGCATCCCTGGCATCACTCCTGATCAGCTTATCCAGCCACTTTCTCTCAGCTACAGATAAGCCTCTATTCCAACAGGCAGCTCCATAGAAGAGATGATAGAAGATGGAAGAACATAGAAGATGGCACAACAGTCATAGACAGTCTTTAGGAGTGCCCCCTGCAATCCAAAAGAACTCGGTCTCCTCAGCAGGAAGAGTCTGCTCTGACCTTTCTTATACAGAGGCTCACTATCTAGCCCACTATCTCAATGACCGTTCCCTGGATGTTCACCGGTGTCAGTGGGGTGGAACTGCTTTTGTGAAAGTCCACCACTAGCTCCTTGGTTTTCCCTTCATTAATGAGAACGTAATTCTGCTGGCACCGGAACACGAAGTTCTGGGTCCACTGTCTGCACTCTGAGTCGTCCCCACCACTGATGAGGCCAACTATCGCAGGTGCAGGAGGAAGGTGATGGCCTGATCTGCCCCAATCCCAGAACAGTAGGCAATCTGCAGTGTTCTTGTATTCATTCTGATCATCCTAACCAGATTATTTTCACTTCAGGACAGGTCAGATGGTGGGGACTCGGAGATAATTGGAGGTTCTGACACACTTATGAATAGATTTTGGACTAATGCCAAGCGATGGCCTGTCAAAAACCTAAACTTTAGGTCTGTATGAAGTGTATGAATTATTCTTGAAAGTCACTTCCCAACCCGGAAAGAAAGTAATGCAAATAAAGTTCTACAAATCATGTTATGAAAAGCCATTAAATATTCAGCCAGATTTTTGCCGTCAGTTTTTCCCAAAGGTTTTGGTTGAGGTGTGACTTTTAAAGTCATAAAATCCACCTGGTCGCCCGCGGGTGGTTTCATATATTTCCACCTAACAACTTAGAACACATGAAAATAACAGCAGTAAAATCTTTACCAAGTGGTTTGTGCGCACGACCCATGTACGGAGGCCTTAGTCCTCGACCCAGCTGACCTGGGTTCGAATCAGACCTGTGGTCCTTTGCTGCATTTCTCTCCCCTTCTCTCATACCCCCTTTCCTGTCAGCCTACTGTCAGAAAAAAAGAGCCACTAGAGCCGTAAAATGTCAAAAAAAAAAAAAACGTTAGAAAGCTTAGATTCTCCATAATTTAACCATCAAGTTCAATTTATGGACACAGCGAGCACCAAAGCACAATTAACACAGATATAACAGCATGGTAAAACAAAGAAGCTGCGAAAACACACCTTTGAAGGCATCCAGAAGCCGTATCATAGATCTAATTATAGATTTAAATCTAACTATAAATCTTCAATTTTTTATAATCCATTTATCCATAATTGTCCACAGATTAAAAGTAATCCACCATTTTCATAATACAAATATGCCATGATAAGAAAATGGCCACATAACGTGTGTTTTTTTATGTCAGAAAAGTTTGCAGTTTCCCAGTACATATGCTGGGAAAGCAGCAAAGCATGTATGCTTAGCATATTTCTAATCAAACTTACTTTGTCATTCATTTGCCTGAAATGTTGTTTTTATTTTTTTTATTTTTTTCCTACCTACAAACAAAAGTGTCTTCATCTTTGTGTGATTAGGTTTGACTTAGGGACAGCCCATGCAGTGTTACAAATACTCCTTGCCTTTCAGCCAGTGATGCACTGAGTAGAGACTGATATTATGCCTCATAGAGTCCTGCTGTTATTGGTTAAAACAACGGAACCTGTTTGGCTTCGTAGCCAATGAAATAGGGTTTCAAACACTGGTAGGCATGGCTAAGTTAGGTTGAGCAGGTTGGATATATTGCCAGGCGTAAACGGCAAGCAGAAACATCAGTGATTGGATCATTGCACACTGTTTGATAAATAGATGGAAAGTTAGACTAAATAAAATATTATTTCAAATATATTTTGTGGCCATCAAAATGTTCCAGTGTGATTTTTGGGGTAAAATTGTTGTGTAAAAGTCTCATATCTCTAGAACTGTTATACCTAGAGGTCTGAAATCTGCAGTTGTGGCTGACAGGATGCAGAATAAATGTAAAACAATGTGACATGCCTATTGTCAAGCATATCTTTGTTACTGCTATTTAAAGAGACATATTATTTTCGAGAAACAAAAAACAAACTTTGATTCATGTTTGAACTGATGCAGTTTAGGCTGCCTTTTAGTCCTACAGCTTTCAAATGATGTATCACACATGTAATTTGGGCTTATAGTTCCTTAGTTATTTGCTTTTCCATTTGTGTATGCAAAAAGGCGAGGATTTCTTAAAATTAGGTGGTGTTATTAAACAAGTGGGAAAAGTGGTTTCTTAAATATCCATCTTTTTTTTTTTTTTTTTTGTATTAGGGGGCTCGTGTGGGAAGAATTGATGCCTTTGTTCAGAGCTTGGACAAGAACTTCATGGTTCCAGTAGGTGGAGCCATCATCGCTGGTTTCGATGAGTCATTTGTTCAGGAGATAAGCAAGATGTACCCAGGTGAGTTTAGGCCATCCTTAGAGAGAAAGCTGATAAAGCAGAATGTCTGCAGTCCTGTCTGTTGTGGCTTATGTATTCTTGTTTTTCAGAGTTTTATTTCTTTTTACATTTTCCCAAGTAAACGTTACAGGTTCTACCTTTCATTATAAAGCAAACTTTAACATGAAAAACACGTTTATACAGCATTCACATTATAAATATGTTCTCCTTCAGTCCTGTTCTAGTTGGTGAAATGTGGCTAAATGTTAATGCTACTGGTTGAGCATGCCTATCTACGTGACAATAAATATTTAGTTTTATTTATCAATTATTCTCTCTAACTCTCCCAGACAATAAATATAGAACATCCCCTCAGATTGATCTTTTAAACCTAGAGCAGTCTGAATGTACGAGTAAACAGAAATGGAGAATCTGACCTGGCTTGGTCAGCCAGTGTTTGATACCCGACACCTTTTTTGAAATTTTATGCTGTAGTGAGTTTGGTGCCTATAGAATATAAATGATAAATCTGACACCCTTTTGTTTCAATGGTAGCTTATTCATACGGTTTTCTTTCCATAGTATTGAGGAGGTCGTAACAAAGGCAAGAAATTAGATTATTCTGATAAAACCTGTTTTCCACTGATGTAATGTTGAAAAAAACGACTGACCTTCAGTCTGAATTTATTTTTTGAATTGAGCTCTATCTTCACTGCGTCATTGAAAACATGTCTGCCTTTGTCAAACATAGTTAGTCTAATGTCTATTTGGATTTTCAACAAATAATCTTTTCAAATCTGTTTTTGTATTCATAGCTCACTATAGCCTTTCTTTTTTTTTTTTTTTTTTTTATGAAAAGGGAGGATAATTTTAGTGTTAACTATCTGCAAGTTTTTATAAAAAAGTTTTTTATTAACTTTTTTTTTTTTTTTTTTTTACCAGTGATAAAATCTCTTTTTTTTATCAGCCCTGTCCTACATAAACACAGAACAGTTTACAGTTCCTCTCAAGTATAACAGTTCAACCATTACCTCCTCCAAGTCATTCAAGGGCAGAATTATCCACATTGATGTCCGTACGTTTGTGTAGCAGCAGCTGGTGGTCAGTGGAAACGAATGCCTTAGAGATCCACAAAAAGGGCTACAGTGTGCAGTTTTCTATCCAGGGCATTAATTACATGATTAGTTACAGATACTGCAGCTGTTATTATACTGTGGCCCGCCTGTAATCCTGGAAAGAAATGGACAAGTGGCCTAAAACAAAGAAAAAACAAAAAAATTGTTCTGTGATGGGACACTTTAATATTTTCCTTTATTTAAATAAATTAGATTTTTTTTTTGTAAGCCTAACTTGACTAGAAAAATTTAGGCAGAAGCTGATATTTTTTTTTCATATAATTTTGTTGTAGCTCTGATTTCTTTTTTAGGTCTGAAAACATTCTCTTAACAGTTTTGCTTTAAAATTGTAAACATGTGCTCTTTTGTCATTTATTCAGCAGCTTTAATGGATTTTTAAGCAGTTTTACTAAAAAAACGTCTAGTGTGAAATACCTAAATAAATCGTGGCAAACTGTTTTTGTACCTTTTTTGTGGCTTTTTATTAATTGTTTTGGTAAAATCTTTGGAATTACTTCTTTTTGTCCGACAGAACATTCAAAATGAAACTTAAAATGCACTTTTGGCACATATCTTTGAATCCAACAAGACCTCGTAGTTTTAAAGGAAGAAAGATATTTCAACAGCATTACACCAAATCACCAATGACGCATCAGATACTTTAGTGTCCAGTTTTTTTCAAGGCAACACATTTTTACCAGCCTTCGTTTTTGCAGATCAACCTTAATATGCAGTAATATTGGTTAATCCTGTTAAAAAGGAAACACAGTAAATAATCCATAGATAGATATATATACTTTGTTTCTGGTGATATATTGGGTTTTACACATAAAGCTGCAGTTATTAAAAAACTGACTCCTTCCTCGCAGCCTTTTCAAGCTGAGCCGTTGGCTAATTTGCTATGCTAATTCTATTATTTCCTCTTCCTATAAAAGTTTTGATTTTGAGGTTGTAAAATAACGACTATTGCTTGATTATTTCACAAAACAAAGAAAAACAGGAAGCTGAAGCAGCCAGTAGTATATTGTTTGCAGTTGTCATTGTAAAAGGATGACAACACTTCAACACAAACCATAGGTTGAAGTAAAACCCCGAGGTCTTAAAACCACGGAATAAACAACGCAGACTATACTTTTTATTAACACCTTTGCACATTAAATTCAACTGGATTCATATATTAGCTGTACAAAATCTACCCCCAATCTGCATTTTTAGGGGATCCAACAGACATAAAAGCACTAGCTGTCTGCAAAAAGTGTCTGTAATTGTGTTTATTTTCATAACAATGGTATTATAATGATCTTGCACTTGTGTTTAAACCTTATTTCAGTTCCACAAATGCACTTTTTATTGGCATAAATAAAGGAAAGTGATGTGTCTTTATACATTTGTAAACTAAAAACATTTAATGAACTAGAAATTGAATGAGACCTTTTTTTCCCTCTCCTTATAGTATCTGATTTGTAAGTCAGCTGTTTGTTTGGCGCTTGGCTACATGTTTAGTTTAACTGTCCCACAAATCTCCTCTGGGTTTCCTGTGTCCAGGAAGAGCATCAGCTTCACCCTCCCTCGACATCCTCATTACCCTTCTCACTCTGGGAGCCAAAGGCTACAAGAAGTACCTGTCCGAGAGAAAGGTGAGGACAAGCACTACCCTTTTAAAAGCTAAAAATAGTTTTTCTTCTTTTAGAAGGGTAGGATCTCTGCTCAGCATTCAAAGCTACATAACCTCTCTTTTTCATTGCCACATAAAAACAAAAACTGTTTTATTTTAGTTTCATGTGAGAGAGTGAGAGCAAAGTAGAATTGTAAAGCAGAAGGAAGATGATGCTGTTCTTATTTAGCTTTACATAAAAATTAGAAAAGTTAAAAGAATGCAAAAAGAGCTAGCATGAATGGATATATTCAGTGTATAACTTAATCCCTGTATAAATTCTGCTGTTCTGTGATGGTCTGAACAATTTTATGGAGAACATCCCAGATTAAACGGCTTCATGGAGGCAAAGAAAAAAAAACGGACAATTTGGGAATAAAGCTTTGGAGAAGTTTAAAGGAGGGTATAGAAATATCCCTTTTAAAGCCTGCACCATGAAATAATAAAAATTTAAATTTTTCAAAATTAGAATTTTAGTGAACCTTTTTTACAACTTAAATAAAAAAAAATACATTTTGTATAAGTGAAATTACATCATTTATTGGCATCAATTTTGATACATTAGGATTTCTGTTTGATCTTTTAAACATTTTCTGTTCACTACATGTGTCTGATTGTGTAAGTCAGGATTTCAAGACTAAAAATATCACACTGATGATGCAGATGTCTCAGAAACTCACTTTAAAGGGCTAAACATCTGACTGTTCAATCCATCGTCTGAAAATGGAAAGAATTGGTAGGAAGACAAATGAAGCTCTAGCGGAAGTTCAATTTAAGAAACTCTGGCTTACCTCCATCCAATCAGAAGCTGATCCGTCTCTGACGTGAGCCAATCAGCTTCGAACTACTCCACCACAAAGCCCAATCAGCATCCTGCTTTCACTTCATAAGCACCTTCAAATCCCTGTCTCAGCCCGCTATCCAGCAAACGCAATGTCAGATTTTATTCAGATGACAATTCACCCACCTCCATCCCCTCCTCCCCCATAGTTGAGTCATCTTCCATGACATGACTTCTACCCCAACCTCATCAGAGAGTATTAATCCCAGTCGTCACCATCCCTCGTCTCATTGCAACTGGTCCAGCAGAAGACCACCATGTTGAGCCCGGTTCTGCCAGAGGTTTCTTCCCAAAGGGGAGTTTTTCCTCTCCACTGTCGCTTCATGCTTGCTCATCATGGACAGTTCATGGTACCTGCATCACCAAGCAGACCTCTACATCCTGAGTCTCTGAGTGAAGCCCCGGTGTCAGCTCCTGTAGTCTCTGGTCCCACAATACAGCTCAAGCAGATCACCTCGTTAACCAGCTCGAACTAAACCACCACCAGTTTCAGGCCAGGGGGAACATCCCTATTCTCATTCATCTACTTATGCATGTTAAAGCATGATTCAGCATGAATGTTCCTGCCGAGGCCTGAGCGCCAAAGACTATACTTTCTTATCAATAAAATTCTTCTAATTATCTTTTCTCTCTGTGCGAGTTTTTCAGATTGAACTGTTAGCTGTGCTTATAAGTTTGACTTTAACCTAAAATTAGCACAAAAAAAAAGTTACTACTGAAAGTAAGGCCTGCAATTTGCCAGAAGTCATGTAGGTAATTTAAAAAAAAACGGCATTAGAGATCACCCTAAATCACCTTGCCTCCCTTACCTCTCAGTCAGAGCACTTAATGATAAGGGTAGGGTCATTTTTAACTCTCATGCAAAAAAAACAAAAAAAAACTATTGTGGTTAAGATCAAACACTGCAAATCCAGTTAAACAGAAAATGCAGATAAATATTGATAAATCCTGGAATAAAACCAGTTGGACAATACAGCAAACGTTACAATAAAATTACCAATATCCAAACATATCCATGAGTTTAATGTTCTAGTTTTAGTTCAGACCTAAATCCGACAGACTCTGTGGGAAGAAATCTGAAAATTGATTATATACATGCATTATTTATACAGTGAGGAAAATAACTATTTGAACACCCTGCTATTGTGCAAGTTTTACCACTTAGAAATCATGGAGGGGTCTGAAATTATTATCGTAGCTGGATGTCTACTGTGAGAGACATAATCTTAAAAAAAATAAAATAAATCAGAAATCACAATGTATGATCCTTTAACTATTTATTTATATGATACATGCAAATAATTATTTGAACACCTGAGAAAATCAATGTTAATATTTGGTAGAGAAGCCTTTGTTTGCAAATACAGAGGTCAAACGTTTCCTTTATTACAGCTTAAATGCAGCATAAAGCCTCAGGAATCATTCTGACTGGCAGGGGGGCGGGGCGGTCTGGTCTTGAACAAGCACTTTGCTTTGTAGAGGGAGGGCTGCGCTGTGGAGATAAAATTGATCCAGAACTTTTTGAGTTACTCACGATGCAGCACTCCCCTCTTCACATCACAGGCACTGCAGCATTCCCACTCCTCCACGCTGCTGTAGCCTAAATGTGTTGTCGGTGAACAAACTCTTCCTCCCTTCAAGCTCAGAGAATGTGACTGTTGAAAAAATCAAGCTAAAATAGGAAATCTTGACACTTTTTGAACTGATATACTTGATGACCACATGATGTTCACATTACAATAAATAACACACAGGAGAGCAAGTAAGGCATTGAATCACAGCCTTCCATTTTCATCTAACGCATCTATGTAGCAGAATTTTCTGGTTAAAAAGAAAATTTCAGACACCTGGGAGATGATGTTTCCTGAATCAAAAACCTAATCAGTCTAATGAGGCTGTTTAAAAGATGGTGTCCTTACTGCTTTCATACATAATGAAGCAGCAGTTAAAAAAGAGGAACTTGGATTTTCTATAAAGAATTTAATAAAGTAATACAGTAGGCATCAAATGTAAATGTTACTAACGGCGATTTTGAAATAGTTGATGCCCTCTGTTAAAAGGTCTTGTGGTCGGAGGAAACCAGGATTAATATATTTAGCCACAGTCCAACACGTACATGGTGAGAAGTGGAGCAAAGGCTTTTAAACCCAGACACAGTGTGGATGAGCCACAAACCAAAATCTCTGTTGGTTTAGAGGGAAGTCCAGGTCGAGTCTATAGTGACATTTACCCATTCAGTCCATTCTGCTTCTAACACTGCATCACTGTAGGTTACTCATTTTCATCCCACTTTTTCGGATGCTTCATGTAATATTTTAACAGTTTTCTTTATTTCCTTTATATTTATTAACATTTGGTTAAACATACCTAAAACGGAGCTTTATATAATTTTGAAAATTGACAGTTATTCCTGTCAAAGAGCTGATTGTTTTATCTTTACAGTATTGTTAAACAACTGTACCACTCCTTGTACTGTTTAGTGCTAAGCTGCACTATGAAGGGCGTGGAGGTTTATGACTCATTCTGACTTAGAAGATTTTTAGAAATGTTTTAAAGCTACATCGGTAACCCATTTTCTCAAGTTTAACCAGTTATGTTAAAATGCCCTGTTTTAAGTAGCTGCGGTATAGTGTGTAGATCAGAGACCGTTGACATTCTTAGAGAAAAGGTTTTACTGTATTTCCAGCAAGAAAACATTACATGCAACAACACATCAGAGGTGAATAACTTGGTTTTCCTCTGAAAACACTGACTCATTTGTTACATCATTCACTTGTAGAAAGACTGAAGTATTTGAGGTATAAATGCTAAACCAGGTTTAGACGTTTGTTTTATTTTTCATGACAATTTTTGTCAGCTTTTTTGAAATTATCTATAGCTCTGCATATTACTTGGTGCTTTTTCATTCATCTGAGCTTTTGTTCAAAGAGCAACTAGCCCCCGAATCAGTGCTTTTTGGAAAAAAAAACTGAAAAAACTGTCTCTATGGGGTGCTATTTTAATTTTGCTTTGCTTTTTTTCCATTACATTTTCTTTGTTTTTTTCTTTCTGCAATATGTGTCTCAAAACTTTTAGTGCTGAAGTATGCTTAGGTCATTCGTACAGGCTTTTAGCCACATAGCCTCGAGTTCAAATGTAATCGAACTCACTCCGTCGAAGACGGCGATAGCGAGTCATCCTCTCTTCTGTCACCTCGGCTGATTAAATGATGCCCACTCTGGTAATTTGGTTCAGTTCTCTGGTCCTTTTTCACATCTACACCAGCGGTCTAGATCAAGGGTATAAACAAAATGTTTTCACTTTAATTATTAGAAGTGGTAAAGACGATTGAAACTTTTTGTTTTATTATTTCCTGATACATAAAGCCTGAAAATCAAAGCATTTGTGCCTCAGTGTGGAACCTCCCGACAGCATTGAGGCTTGTTGATTTCTGCCAGACTGCCATGATGCATAATTAATACACAAAATCAGTTTTTCCATCATGTCTGCAGATCCCAGAGGAGTGATGAGCTTTAAATAATTTAGGCTTTCAGGTTTTTTTTTGGGTGGGGGGGTTCACTTAGAGCTGCAAGTAGCAACACTTTAGGTCTGCGAGGCGGTCAGGAGGGCAAAGTGTGTTTTCATGGAAGATTTTCTCAACCCAAACACTGAGGGATTGTTGTAGCCAGCTGCATCCCCTCCTTCTTCCCTCTGGCAGAAATAACGTCTCTCTTTGTTATCAGGGAACAAGGAACACACGGGGACACTTGAAACACTAATTGTGTTTGCCTCTTGAAGGAGAAAATACTCTGAGCTAGCGGACACACTCGTCCTCCTCCAGACAGCTCGCCCTTTAAAAGGCTTCAGCAGGGATTCTGGAGTGAGCAGAAAAAAAAGCACAATGTTTTTTTGTGCAGGTTTGGTCTTGTAACATCTGTGGCCTGATTCAGTCTTTCAGGAACAGCTTGGCTCTCGGTGCTAAGCACCCTGTCAGCATCTTTCAAGCATGCTCCGTTTAAAAGCATGCATTCTTCTCCCGCTCCTCTAATTGATCCCGGAGGTAGAAGTGTGATGCAAACAAGCATCCCAGCCAAGAGATGACGGGAGGTGGACGCTCTGGATCCAGTGAAACCTAAAGAGTAACCATGCAGACTTGCTTTTGAACTTCATTAAGATTAAAAAACAACTAAGATTCCTGCTGGTTGATTAAAACTCTAGTTGTCACCATAAATATCTTCCTGATTCACTTTGTTCTGCCGTCCGTCTCTGAGCCGTCTCCCTTTCTGTGCTGCAGGAGATTTATTCCTTCCTGGCTGAGGAGCTGAGGAGTCTTGCGTCTGCACATGGGGAGAGATTGCTTCACACCCCACATAATCCCATATCTCTGGGTATGATTAGACCAGCACATGATCTCCCTGCTCCTCAAGTCCACAGTATTTATGTTTCTAACCTTCCCATTTCACCCTCTGTTTTAACTGGCTGTGTGTGCCTTCAGCCATGTCCCTTGATGGACTCCAGGCGTCATGCAGCCAGGCGGTGACTCAGCTGGGCTCAATGCTGTTTACCCGACAGGTGTCGGGCGCAAGGTAATGAAAACCCCTTTATCTGTTTTTACTTTGTTTTTTTCATTCAAACACAAACTTTTTTTTTTATTATTTACGACACCAGTGGCTCACTTTTCTGACAGTAGGCTGACAGGAAACGGGTTATGAGAGAGGGGGAGAGACATGCGGCAAAGTATCACAGGCCAGATTCAAACCTGGGTCGGCCGCGTAGAGGTCTAAGGCCTCCGTACATGGGTGGTGCGTTGATGTGCCATTTTTTTCATCAAAAAAAAAAAAAAGGAAATTATGCTTTTTTGTTTAGCTCCCCCATAATCTGATGCTTCTTGATAAAATTAGCAGTGAGTTTCCATCAGAGGTAATTAGCAGATAGTTGACATGCATCTAATTGAATCCCAATATAATATAGCCCTTGCATTACGGCTTTAGAGGTTTGATAGAGAGTGGTAGTATGTGGAAAAATCCTGAAGATCAATAACACAAAATTAAAATGCATCATTGCATCACATCGAAACAGAACAAGACAACTTCATCCTGCCAGAATTGGGGCCGGGCAATCAATTACTTTTGCAATATGATCGCAATTTAATAAAACAAGAATTTACAGATCGCAGAGCCACTCAATTTGGTCACTTTACATTTAACAAGAAAAAGTCAACACATTTCTAACTCCAGCCCTTTAGGTGGCGCTAATATGCTTAAAGTGGGTTTACAACTACACAGATGAGAAGTTGCAGCTATCATGCAGATTCATGCATGAAGCTGTTTTTCACAAAAAGGTTGCAGGAAAGTCCTGCAACTATGGACTTTTAAGGTGAAATAAAAACAAACCCTGGAGGGAAACATCCACATGCTTGGTGGTTAGTGCAAAGGAAAATCAAAATAAAACGTTTAAAATAATACGTTTTAAAAATTAAAAAAACAAATTAGTTCAGCCCTAACAAGAATGAAGGCATCTACCTAAACTGACGAGGATGTAGGTAGCTCAGGGGGGGCTGCAGACACCACAGCTCAGGTGGAAGAATATGTTGACAGAACAATAATTAGTGTTCCGACTTTACACTTAGAAAACTTTTATTGTCATTTTGTATACAGAGTGTATACAAAACAAAATTTCTTTTAGCACAGCTTTTCAGACGGTAAAAGAACATTTCCATTCGTGCGACTTACAATGAAAGGTGACATAAAGACACTGGAGTATTCTTTTTCATGATCTATAAATAAAAGCCCCTGAAAATCATAAATGTTTAATGCTTTATAGTGACAAAGTGTACCAGTAGTGGTGTACAATGAAAGGTTCTTAAATAAATGTACAAAAATGAAAAGTTAAAGGATCTGGAGTTTTTTGTTATTTTGTTAAATTTACATTTTTTCTCGATCCACTGTATATATGGGGGCGCACTGTATATTAGTGGAGCACTGTATATACTCCATGTACCTATGTCTATCCATGTTTCTCCACTATCTTATCTTGTAAGTCTAAATTTTGAGTATGAGCTGGGGAATGAGAAAAAAAGCCTGAGGAAATTACTGATGATTCAAATGCATGAGCTGGAACTACTTTAGTAGATTAGATAGCCCATCCTATCAAAGCCAGCTCCCAATTTATTGGATTGTTTCTATTAAAAGTGGAAAGAGCAGCATCAACACTGGAAAAGTATTTGGGAATGTTAACCGACTTCTCATGCAGCCTTTTATTCTCTTCTCATATCATTAATGGGATGGACTCATTTGAACCCTTAAATACCATTTACAGTTACAGAAATCATTACATTTTTATGAACTTGGCTGTTCTCTATACAGTGAGAGGAAATTTCTTTGCTCTAGCCAACCATTCAGCAAAACCAATTAAAACTCCTCCTGCCTTTGATTACAATGCATTTCTCCACCATAAAGGTTTCTAATAAGCGCTTTGAGGAGCTGGTCAATAATTGATTTAATATTAAAGTGAGTCTGAGCTGTGCTGATCGTTGTGCAAGCTGATCACATTTAGCTGGCTACTAAGTCTTTTTGTTTTTTGTTTTTTTTGTTTTTTTGGGGGTTTTTTTTATAATGCAGAGCCTTAGAAAAAAAGATAAAAACCAAGGATTCTATTTTTTTTAAACACTTCCAACTTTAATCTAATAGAGAATCAATGAAGGCAGCTAAATGTTTGGGCAATGGGAAGGAGTCTGTCCATCTTTCTAAGACATGGAAGCTATAAGGTTGTGACTCCAGTGAGTAATGATTGACAGGGCTTTAACTTTTGAGCAGACCTCACTTTAATGTGGCTGAAAATAAACAATGTGAGGACACAGAAAAAAAAGGTTAAACACATAAATTATGTACAATAATTTTTAAAACATTTAGATTTTATAGTTCTACCTATTCTCAAAGATATTTCCAATTAGTTCTCCTTTTCTAATGTGTCCAGGGTGATACCACTGTGTAAGGAGCAGACCGTAAGCGGATACACCTTCCGTGGATTCATGTCGCACTCGGAGTCATACCCCTGTCCCTACCTCAACGCTGCCTCAGCTGTGGGCATCACTCGAGACGACGTGACGCTATGCATGAAGAGGCTCGACAAATGTCTGAAAGCCCTGAAGAAAGATGGGAAGACGGCAATAACTAGCTCCTCAGTACCTCCGGCCGATCAGGACGTTCCTGATGAAGAATGACTTGAGTGGCCAAAGTTTGCGCCTCTGCTCCCTACTTTACTACACTGGTTAATTCTTGAATGTCTATTAAAATCAGATTAGTCATTTATAAAAAAAAAAATTTTAATAATTTAAGCTGCCTTTATTGTTGGGTCTGACTGAACTATTGTGAAAATGCATTCAGTCTCTCTCTGATTAAAAAAAAATAAATAAATTTGTGAGGCGGTGTGCTGTGCCTCATCTTCTGCAGCAAGCAGTAATGTGATCTGAATGCTGCTCTGCCATTAACTTCATCTGAGTGCATACTGTATAGTGGATGGCCTTGTTTTATTTTTAGCCTCTGTCACGGATCACATGGAACAGATAATCAATGATAGGGGCCCAATCATAGATCAGTGCCGTGTTTACAGATGGAAACCTCCACTTCTGAGCTCATACCATGGTTTCTGCACCTCTACTTTAATTTTTTGCAGCCTTAATAAAGATAAAAGAAGATATCTTTGCTTTCAAGTAAGAATCAGACTATCATCACAGCCCTCACTTTAAAAATTCAGCTTCCAGATGTTTTCCTACCTGCACGCTCAGGATACTTTCAGCAAAAGGAAGCTGCAGAAGATTCCCTTCTCAGCAGCCTGTGAAAGTGGGCTGGACTCTTCTAACCCTGTTGTATCAGCATATTTCTCCTCTTCCCAGCTGTACTGAAACATTAAAATGTAGTGGAAAAACACAGTGCGCTGTTGGAGCAGGTCGGTACAATGCAGCAGCTTGAAGAGGAGCTGGAGGGGTTGGAAAAGTTACAAACTATTTTTATGTGCACAGTGGTGCTCCTCTTCAGCAAGTAGAAAAAAAGATGCTTTACCACTGCTGCTGATATTGCAGCAATGCAGCAGGGATTGACAGAGCAGAGAAGTAATCAGTTTGAAATATAGTGGTAAGGTATTTTGATTCCTTGAAAAAATAAAAAGAAATGGGAAACAAAGCCCTTAATCCACCCACACTGAAAACATGCTACCTTCTGCTCAGTAGGAGTTTAAGCACCCCTGGGATTTTGCTACAAGACAAATTGCTCCTAACCTGCTCAGAGTTTACTGGTGATTGAGTGATTGGTGCATAGTAGTTAGCAACGGCCTAATAATCAACTTTACTTGATTGCCTATCACAACCTGACACTTGCTAAAAATGTCAAAGGCGTCTTTCAGACATGGATATCATTAAAAAGGGCAGTATTTGTTTTTACTCCAAAAGTTGAACTCTTATATTGGTCATACATAGAGTGAAATATTCATTTAATCTTATTATGACTAAGATATAATAAAGACAACATTCAATGTCTTGGAAAGTTAGTATATCTAAAGAACCGGGTGTTTTTACTTTAAAAATATTGATGGAGGAAGAACATAAAGGACTGCCAAAAAAGAGAGGCTAGTCACCCAAGATGAAGCAAAAAGCTTTAATAAAATATATATAAATGTGTCACCCATCCATTTTCTGTCACGCTTATCCCAGCTGTCTACGGGCAAGCGGCGAGGTACACCCTGGACAGGTCGCCAGTCCATCGCAGGAAACCATTCACACTTAAGGAGAATTTAGAGTAGACAATAAACCTAACAGTCATGTTTTTGGATGGTGGGAGGAAGCCAGAGTACCCGGAGAGAACCCATACATGCTCAGGGAGAACATGCAAACTCCATGTAGAAAAAGCCGGGCCTCGAACCCAGATCTTCTTGTTGCAAGGCAGCAGTGCTACCCACTGCTCTATTATAATGTAATGTAAGGATATACCGAAAACATTTTTTTTTTAGGATAAAGTATTTTTTATTTGAATTGGATCAAAGGTCTCGCTTTGAACTTTAAATGCAGAAAAACAGCAAATGTTAAGGTTAAAACTGTTAAAGAAGACACTGACTGGCCATCCAGAGAGATGACCCAGCATTTCATGGACTAAAGGAAGCTAATTGGTGAAGCATGAGAGCTCAGGCATCATGATATGGTGATGTTTCATGCTACTGGCATATTCCATATTGTAATATATATAGTGTAATATATCAGGGGGAAATCTATCACTGTAACACTCTACTAGTGTTTATATCTCATGTCTTGCCATGTCAAAGGTTTACATAATTGTCCAAAAGTGGAACGTATAATAACTGAATAAAAAATAAAAACAACTACTTAATCTTTTGATTTGAACATTTAATTCGTAGGCATTTTATGCTTTCCATCTAAAAAACAAAATCTGTTGCCTAGAAGTTAGTAAGGAATCAAAAAAATACAAAATAAAATCATAAACCTGTAATTATAAGACTGGAGCTCCTCTGAGTAACTCCCTTATAATCACATTTAAATGATTTGGGAACAACATACTGAACAAAAATTATAGTCAGACTGACTTAATTAGTTTCACTTTTTTTTTCTTCTTTACCCTTGGGCTGCTTCGTTGGGCTCAGTGTGAAAAACAGCTGATCCCAGAGCAGACTGTTCTCTCATTCTGTTCCTCTGCTTGGTTTTGATGTGTGTCAAAGATACAGGTGAATCAAACATGTCAGAAAAACTTACTCTTTGGTTGATAAAAGCTTGTTTAATTTTTTTTCAGTTTGGTCCTCATAAAACAACAAGAAGATTAGGGCCACTGAAAAAAAAATAAGTGAACTGATTTTTAAATATTATTACAGTTTAATATGGGAAAGAAGTCAGAATTCTGACTGTAATCTCAGAATTCTGACTTTTTCTCAGAGTTCTGACTTTTCTTAGAATTCTGACTCTAATCTCAGAATTCTGACTTTTTTCCTCAGTATTCTGACTTTAATCTCAGAATTCTGATTTTTTTTCCTCAGAATTCTGACTTTAATCTCATAATTCTGATTTTTTTCTCAGAATTCTGACTTTTTTTCCCCCCTCAGAATTCTGACCCTAATCTCAGAATTTTGGATCTTAATGTAAATGGGCACCATGAAGGAAGAGATATGGCAGCACTCAGCTTCACTGGCAAAGATGTGAGTTGTTTGGGAGGGCCAGTGACACATTGGTGGAAAATTAAGGAATTGGGGGACTTTTTATGTGCCTGAGGGGTCCCTGGTGATGCTATTTAATTAATGGAAGAGCAGAAGGTGATTAAAACGAGAGCTAGTCTCTAAAACAGACTTGGCTACAGCATGCTGCTAACATGTTTCTTAGCAGTCAGAATTCTGAGATTAAAGTCAGAATTTGGACTTTAATGTCAGAATTCTGACTTTTTTCCCTTATTAAACTGAAATAAAATTTAAAAAAATCGGTTAACTTTTTTTCAGTGGCCCTAATCTTCATCCATACAAAACAAAACAGATCAAAGCCCTATTTAATTTTACTACATAAGAACTAAAATATTTTTATGTACCTCTTGCAACGCATTCGCGGACCACTAGGGGTATGAGTACCCCTCGTTTGGAATCACTATTACAGGCTATGGGAACCACATAGTGATACTAAACCTGCCGTTTCTGGGGCATAAATAATATTTGCAAAAACTTGTGAAGCTTGTGAACATAGCAGTTAGAGGAATGAATCAATGTCTTAGAAGATTGAAAGAATTTTATGGTTTACATACAACTTAGATTGTTATAACAAATCCAGACAAGCTGTTTTAATCTCATTTTCATCTTGTGTTAAGATTTATTGACAATAAATAAAAATGACTGTTTCCTTTTGAACACAATGTTCAAAACCAATTCAAAGGTATTTAAATAAAAGTTACAAAGAGGCCTGGGCTTTACTCGCAGTTTTGCGATGCTATTGAACACTATGCGTACAGTAGAGCTTTTGTGTTGATGCACTATAAGGACGTTGCGTGGGTTTAACCTGCATTTTGATGAGTAACTGTTCTTTCGCCAGCATGCCCTCAACCTTGAACAACGTGACAAAATATATCTCTGCTCTTTTCGAGTTAATATTCCTGTCTACGTCCACAGATAATGGAACACAGAACCGTTTATGTACAGTGTTTATGTGCAGAGGCTCAGTGTATAGAGAACAGGCGCTGTCCATGGTGCTGCGGCAGCTGTAGCGCCTCAGAGCTCCACTGTTTCTCTATGCTGTCCAATATTTACTGCTTCCATTACTCTAATTACCCGGTTTCAATCAAGCGCACGTGATTAATGTGCCGCTATGTTGTTGATATGCAGGTTTGATTTTAGTTGTGTCAGAATTTACCAAGGAAGCCTTATCAACAACGCAGTAAATATATTTTATTTTAAGTCTAATAGGTGTTAACCATATTAATAACTTTTAATCCTTAAATAAAAACGAAACAGAATCCAGTGAGAATGGTTTAGGTACATGTGGTTGTTTAACCAACAGTAACAAGTCGGGAAACCGCCCACCCCCCCTCAGAAAGCATTCACAGAGGGGAAACTGCAGCTGATTTGCTGATGTCAGGCAGCCAGTGCAGCATTTCATGGTGCAGGGTGGAAACGCGCGGTGCCATCTGCCTTGATCCGACCTCTCAACAAATATCAACAGATATAAACATCTTTTCTCCAACAAATACTTAAGGGGGGAAAAAACGAGCTAACAAAAAAACTTACACATGCGAGCCAGACAGAGAAGATGCCGCCAGCTCTCAGGATTTGGGCTCTGCTGTGTTTGTCGCTGTGCAGCCTGTGTCAACCGGCTCTTCTGAAAAAGGCTTTCCGATGTCCTTCAACATGCAGCTGCTCCAAGGAGTCCATCATATGCGTCGGATCCTCCAACATCCCGAGGATTGCCCCCAACGAGATCACTTCGTTGTAAGTAAAACACTATGCGTGTTATTTTATTTTTTACATATTTTTAATAACTAATTTAATTCCCTGTAGAAGGGGGCGCTTTCAATGGATATATAAGCTATTTAAAACCCACATAGACTGATTACACTCTATGAATTTTTTTTTTTTTTTTTTAGATTTATTCATTAATTAAATAGATTTTTGTTTGCTTGTTTCATCCAGGAGTATCGTCAATGGGACTTTCTCTGAGGTCAGAGAGGCGATGTTTGCCCACATGCCTACCCTTCAGCTACTGTAAGAATCTGTTTGTTCAATACCTCTCAGACTGCATTTAATCTCGCAGTAAGTGCTCTATATGAGCTTAAAAAAT